CATCATCTATGAGGATGCCACTCCATCAACTCCACAAATGCCAGTTCTACCGGCTTTCAATGACACACCAACGGCCCACAAGTTTTCTAGCAATCTAACTGGGCTTGTGAATAGGCTCACTGGACCCCAGTCCGACTTGAAATCGATGAACACATGTTTGTGACAGTAGGCTTGGGCTTGGTAGCATGTGGAGGGACTGCAAATGCCACTTGTGCAGGCCCATTAGGGCAACGATTAGGTGCAAGCATGCACAATGCATCCTTTCAATTCCCTACCAAGTTATCGATGTTGCAAGCCTTCTTCAACAATGTTGATGGAATCTACACCACTGACTTTCCAAATCAACCACCATTGGTGTTTGACTACACAAATTCCAATAACAGTTTCACCACGTCCATCATAATGACAACAAAGTCAACCAAAGTGAAAAAAGTCAAGTTCAATTCGACTATTCAGATTGTGATGCAGAACACAGCCTTGGTGGGTATAGAGAACCACCCTATTCACTTGCATGAAGTCAACTTCCATGTGCTGGCTCAAGGGTTTGGAAATTATGACTCAATAACAATCCCAAAAAGTTCAACTTCATCAATCCGAAAATGCGTAACACTATTGATGTGCCAGTCAGAGGTTGGGTTGTCATCAGATTTCAAGCAAACAATCTAGATAAATGATGTTCTATCATGATTCTATCATCTTAATATGGTAGCTTAATTACTAACCAATTCTCCTTTTTAACACACTTTTTAAGGTCAAGATGGTCAATATGTTTCACAAAATTTGTGGATACAATTTTAACAATATTCATGTAGATATTTAATTTTATATATAATGTACATATAGTAGTGTTTTGGGAAGTTGGCAAAAAGCTGACTTTTTTGGATTTTTGACTTTTTTAGCACCTTCTAGGTTGTTTTGGGTAAAAAAGTTGATTTTTTTGACTAAAAAAGCTGAAAAGCCAAAAAACTGATTTTTTTTGCAACTTCCCAAATGACCCCATATATATTGTATAAGCAACTAATTTATGTTTTTTTGGAAAATTTGGTGGATATGGTTGTATGGTTGATGCATTGTCGCTTTGATGTGCACTTGCCATGGGACTGGCAACAGCATTTGTCGTTGAGAATGGTCCAACACTATCAACTATATTGCCTCTACCTCCTCCAGATCTATCCCACTGTTAAGAGTTGTTCTACAGTGTTTTCTAATTCTCTTGTTTTTGTTTTTGTTTTTATTTTTATGATTGCTTTCATTTTCACTATATTTTTTTATTTTCATGCTTTTGTCCATTACAACAAATTTCTAATAAACGTAGCCAAGGATTTATTCCTTCAACTTTGTATTAAGTTTGTATTCATTGGATTGAAATAATATTATGAGTATTTAAAATCTTCATAGTTGTTAACAAGTGAAGTTACTCAATAACCTCGTGAAACCAAAAAGGAAAAAGAAAACAAATTTTGATTTAATTTTGTTTATTTTATTTAAAAAACTGGTTCCAAATGAGGCCTAATGTCTTTTTCTAGTTTTGGCACCTAATTGAGATACCTTGATGGATAAGTGAACAATTATCCATCCAATATTGAGTAACTTTCTCCATTACCCAAAAAATTTGGTTGCATTTGAAAAGATGATGAATAAATTAGGCCACAGCTTCTCTCCAGTCCAAATCTGGACTGGACGGTGCTGTCCGGCCCTTGGGGGCTCACTACGGGTCGTGTTTCGATAATCTAAACCGTTCAATATGTAGAGCTCGTCGAGTACTATATGCCTATAAAAAATCACGTTGATCGGATATCGATAGCTATATGATCAAATCAGTTTTTTATGAAAAAAAATGGACGGTGAAAAATAAACGGCTTACAAAAAACTAATTTGATCATATAGCTATTGATATCCGATCAATGTGATTTTTTACAGACATATAGTACTCGACGAGTTCTACATGTTCAACGATTTAGATTATCGAAACACAACCCGTAGTGGGCCCCCAAGGGCCGGACAGCACCGTCCAGTCCAGATTTGGACTGGAGAGAAGCTGTGCCCAATAAATTATTTGCTTATTTTTGAGCTCTTGCTCAAACTCTAAATGTTTATCTTAGGGTTCGATTGGGATATGAGTTGACTTTTTGACTGGGTTAAAAAGTCTTATTTGGAATAGATTTTTTGACTTTTTTTAGTTTTATGAGAGAAAAAATGAAATGATTATGAATTAGATGTAACATTTTATCATATTTAGTTAAAATAACTTATTTTATCTAATATGATTATTTTAGCCCCAATGAGACATCCAAACGTGCACTTATTGTGAAGAAAAGGGTATCCACAAAAAAAATTTAAATGAACATTTCTTGCAAACTATACTCAAAGAACATCTAGTATGCCGCCATATATAAAATCGAGATATTTGGAGAGTTGACAAAACCCTATTCTTTTCGTCACAAAATCAATAAACTGAAAAAAAATGGATTAGAATGTTTGGGCCTATGTTTGTTTTCGAAAAGAATTGCATGCTTTGTTATGTACCAATTGATCAAAATGGTGTTTGAGTTGCTTTCCTACATGACACCGTCTTGTGAGTCGAATCCTAAATTAAACTTAAATCGGTTTTTTTTTGATGAATTTTTTAGGAAAAAGAAAAGAGGTCATTAGCATACTGTGACAAGGGCCTTATGTAAATAATTTTGTGAGCTGATTGTCCTTTTTTATGTTTTTGATCAGGAGCTGATTGTCCTTTGAACCCATAAAAGAGAGAGACAATGAATCCTTAGAATATTCTGGGTCCAGCCCAGTATATTTTCAACACAAACCCGGCCCGGCCTTTCAATATAGACTCTTTTTGTGTCAAGGATTTGTGTTTGGACCAAAAAAATCAACCATAGATTTGTAAAGTGAAAAAAATAAATAAAGAATTATAAGTTAATTTTCTTCTTCTTCTTTTTTTTTGACAAATTTTCTCTCAAATTTTTAATCCAACATAACTTTTAAAAATAGCAAATACTTTTACTCTATTTGCTCAACTTGTCCATTTAAATCATTATCTTTTGGCCAATGTCTCTCCTTATCTTTTAGACCTCATCAATTTTAAGAAGGATAAAATCATTACTATTTGAAAAGTGCAAAAAAAAACCAAAAAAAAAAAAGAGAGAAATATAAGTTAATTTGCTTCACTTTTTTCTTTTATTTCTTTTTCATTGACAAATTTGCTCTCAAATTTTTCAACCAACACAACTTTTAAAAATAACAAGGTTTTTTACTCTATTCGCCCAACTTGTACCATTTAAAGCATTATCTTTTGGCCAAACTTTCTCTCGTTATCTTTTAGACCTCATCAATTTTAAAAAAGGATAAATTTCACATTACTACTTATGATTTAGCCCACATGTGAAATTTTCCCTCCTATTTTCTCCCTCTCTGCAACTTATACCAATCACCCTTCCCGACCCCCCACTGTGCAGCACACAACCGCTCCTCCACTGTGCAGCACCAAAAAAAAAAAAACCAAACAAACAAACAAACAAAAAAGTTATAAGCAACTCGGATAAGTTGCAGCAAAAAGCCTCACTACTTTTTTCATCCAGCCCTCACCTAATATTTAACCCAAAAGTCATAATTCAACGACTAGTCATTATTATTAGAAAACTATTTAAAACTCACAAAAAAAATTCTACAATTGTATCCACAATAATGTGATATTACATGTGTTAACTTTCTATTTGTTATACATCTAATAATATATGACCCCACCCTCTTATCATATCAATGTGGATGAATTTATGAGCTAAAAATGTGAATTTATAGCATTGCTCTTATCATTAATTATGCCCTTTGGATCAATTGCTAAAAGATAGCTGGATGAAGAAATTGCTAAAGGGGAAAGAATATTTGTATAAAGTAAAATTTTATTTTTAATCTTCTTATTATTATAATTTTCATTTTGATGTAAGTCATGATTAAAAAAGAGATAATTAACCCAAAGAGTTGTGGCACTTTGGTAAAGTTTGGGGGGCATAAATCCTAAGGTTTTAGGTTGTACACTCTTCAGGGCCAACTCTCAGGGGTGTGGTTTTAGGTTGTACACTCTTCAGGGCCAACTCTCAGGGGTGTAGTGCAGTGGTCCTAAGACGCCCATCTAAGAGCATCTCCAACGCTTAACCTCTTTTTTCATCAAATCTGATGAAAAAAATGACGTTTTTTTCGATTTGGTACGAGGCGCTCCAACGGTGAGCATCAAAGCAGAATTGGGGAGGTGGTCGACCGGTTTGGGCAATTTTTTTTTTTTTTTTTTTTTTTTACCTGTTTGAACCTTTTTTGACCGGTTTGAACTTAGTTATTTCAAAGGGAACCGGTTGACCAGTTGGTCAACCGGCCGGGCAACCGATGTATCTCCTTCAACGGTCAGTAACAGTGATTTGGTAAAATGCAGAACTTGTTTTCAGTTTGATACTTTTTTTGCTGATTTCTCATTTTGATATTCATTTGATGCAACGGTTGGAGCATGGAAAAGTACATTTTTCATCAAAATTTAAATCTGATATCAATTTTGGTTCAGCGTTGGAGATGGTCTAAGTGCTGAGCGAATAGTATCCATGGCTTGGAAGTAGGGTCAAATCTTGGTAGCTGCTCTCTTTGACTTCAATGATATATGCATTGTGGAATCAGTGTACACACTCGAGATTTGCCGATTGTCCTACTCCGGTTAAACCAACATTAAGTAGTTGACTCCGAATTCGGTAGAGGATAAGGGTAGAAAGTTTACTCATTAACTAAATATATATATATAAAATAATAGCCTTTAAACATTTCAAGTGAATTAAATAAAATAAAATAAGAAATAATCATTTTATTTCATCATAAGCATTGCAAGATATAATTATTCTTAATTTCTTTTTCTATATATAATTTTTTTTTTTATAAATACGCGGAACTAATCACAACCATCCAATTAAGTGACATTGTTATATCGTTTTTGTAAATAAAATTCGTTTGCATTTTAAAAATATGAAAAATGGATTCTCAATATATAATAGTATTTACTGATCACACATTTGGAAAAAGAAATTATCAATAGAATCTGTAGCTCAATTATGTAACATAATTATTGACAAACCAATACATAAACTTCAAATGAAAATGCTTCAAAACGAAATTTGGTGCAAAAGTAATTTAGAAGAAAGCAGGAGAAGGGGCAGGGACTGCAGCGAGGTGAGACACTTCGCTGGCAAGAGGACCAGGTGCAGCACCAGAGCTCGAAAGTTCAAACATGGCGCGGTGAGGATTGGTTCTCTGTCTCTCACAAAGATCTGGCAAAAATACTCCTACACAATTTAAAACATTTAGGCCTAGTTTAGGAAAATGTTATTTAGTAATTTTTTATTTTTTAGTTAAAATATGAGGTAAAAGAAATTCATATATTTGAAATGACTTTTTAATTTTTTTTGAAAAAATGTGTAAAAAGTAGAGACAAAAAAGAATATTTGACTTTTTGATCTAGGTCGTTGGCTTTTTAATTTTTTTAGCGACTTTTTGACTTTTAGATTAAAACAGTGAATTACCAAATGAGCCCTTAATAACAATTAAGTCACTTTTGATCTCAAGTTTAAAATAGATTTAATATTTTAAACCCAAAAAAAAATAAAATTGTCATCAAGAATTCGAGCTGGGGAAGTGATGTGGTCCTTTTAACGAGGACAATACTTTGATTGGAGTGGAAGAAAATTAAGTTACAAGAAAGGTATATGTATTGCGATTTTCACAAGTTAATAAGATTAAAAAATATGTACGAGCATAGCTATTTTTTGATACAGTTTCTAAAAACTGATTATTAAAATGTTTATATTTCATGCTGTGACTATTTCAATGAGACAGGATTTTTTGTCCTGAATTTTTGTTATTTCAAAATATTCACAATTATTAAATTGTCTTAAATTTTCACATATCAAAATTCTTCCATAATCTAATAATTATTAAATTTTGAGACATGATAACATTCTTATATAATTTATAATAGTTGTGATTATTTTAAAAACAGAAGAACAAAAGTATGAGAGGATCTTGACCCATTTCAATCATCAGAGGTCAATCGTCAGAGGTTTGATATTTTAAATCGACAATACTATCATCTCAACATAAAATACTTAAAAAAGTCTTAGAATTTCACATCAGTAGTCATGATTCATTTGAGTGTGGCCCTACAATACTAACTTTCAATATACACTATTAATTTAACTTTCAATATACACTATTGATTTAAAATTCATGATAGCATTAAGAACATTTTTCAAAGACCATATCTTTTTTTTTATCTTAAATAAATAATGACTTTCCCATCTAACAAAAATGTAGTTAGTGCACCATTCACCTTATAAAAAAAATAAAATGTTACACATAAATAAATTTGTTTTCTTTTCTTTCCTTTTTAAAAATCCCAACATTGTGAACGATTTATGTGCAAATAAAAGAATTGTTTATTTTTTATTTTATTATTATTGTTGGTTTTTATTCATACCTTCGCCGGCGGCCAAGTTGAAGTAGAGATCAACAATGTTAGGGCAATTCTGGTAACAGTCAGAGGAGCAAAGCATGGCAGTGAATTGTGACTCAAGCAATGCATCCGATGATATCCCAACGTTGTTCCTATCGACACCGCACGTGCTGACGCATTCGTCGGTCTCAATGTATTCGGACATCCTCTCCACCACCACCTCCGATGTCTTACATTGGTAATCTACCTTTCCCTCCTTCGTCTCCTCATTTTCCAAAACACATCTCTTCCCAGACGATGATATCGAAAATGAACATACATCTACTGGCAAGTCCTCACATATAATCTCACCTTAAAAAATATATATAAATTTATAAATTAGCCAAAATGAAATGATCACACAAACCAGTTATAGAAATAGATACAGAATGTATATAGATGGATCAAAAAAATTAATTTATGAAATCATGAGCTCGTAGCAAAATTGAAAGAAAATACAGAATAAAAGATATGTGGATCACATTCATTCCAGGTGTAACATATGATGTGCTTATATTAATAGTTTGATTGTATAGTAAGATCCAAAAGACACTGACTAGGATCAGTTCTCGATTATAAATATATATATATATACTTATGTACCTAGAGTTCCTTGGAGGAAGAGAGAGCAAGCAAAGAAGAGGATGAATGACAATTTGATTGAAGAGGCCATGCTTTTGAAAATGAAAGTCTTCGTTGTTTTTTTTTTTTTTTTTTTTTTTTTTTTTTTTTTTTGGATATATTTGGAGAAGCAATGGAAGTGATAAGAACTTGTGAGGTTATGTGGAGAGCGGAGAGGGGAGAGAGATATGAGCAATGAAAGAGAGAATGTTGGCTTATATATAGAGTGAGATACAGATACGGCCTTTAATGTGCTTTTTTGCTAAGTAATAAATTTGCGCCAAATTTAACGCGTTCCCTAAATTTTTGGGGACGTGTTTGGTGGCTCACTATTGGCTGGTAGGTCTCTTTAGACTTTTTCGTTGGAGACATGGCTCTTGTATAGTATAATACGTGCTTTCATTTTCAGACGCCAAACAATGACGTGTGTGTATGGATGCCTCAATGAATGTTGAAGGTTTCTAACACTGGGGAACCTTCCGTACCCTCTCGCAAATTTGAGCTCATTCGGTTGTTTGGAAATACGTCACATAGTATTTTATGATAATATGGTTAGTGAAAAATGTTGAATATTAATTATTTATCTTGAATGATTGATAAATATAAAGAAACATAATGAATAATAATTGGTGAGAGAATATGATCATATAATACTATGAAACTATTGTATAATTTTCTAACAAATTTCTCATTCTCAACTAAATATTAGATGTATCAATGATTTCACCTGACGATATTATTTGATTTTGTAGTAAGAATGATAATATTGTTAGGCTAATGGCAAAAAGTACTTGTTCATCTAATCTTATCTTTTATTAGCCAATAACACCACATAACATAACTGGAATGTTTAGTGTAGATTAAATAAGTTACTTAGAGTAAGGTCTCATTTAGGAACAAGTTATTTTAGTAATTTTTTGATTTTTTATGAAAAATATATAAAAAAGTAAAAAGAGTAATGTGATGGCTAAAATATTTAGTCCTCAAACAAGGCCTAACTCCAACGCTATTCTTTATTTTTCGCTAGATAAAAAAAAACGAAATTCTTTTTATTTTAACCATTTTTTTTTTTTTTGGCTCTAACGCTACTCTTAGTTTGCCTATTAATCCACACAAACTATTTATAGAGTCATCTAAAACCCTCCAAATATAGCTGACTTTGAGAAATTTTGTTAAAATAACTAGTGTAATAACTAGCCCGTTGGAGGAGGTAAAGTAGGACGAGACTAGCTATAATAGTCAGAACGTCTCTTTTGAACAACCTATTGGATATGTTCTTATAATTTATTTAAATTTCGAAGTTTGTGTTAAACTGTTTGGTACAATTTCTATTTATAGTTTATTAAGCAAAAATAGTTTAAATAAACTGAAAAAGACCGATTATCTAAGAAGTAGAGGATGGGGTACTTTAACTTTTACTTTCTAATTATCATCTTTTAAGCCTCGTTTGGCAACATTACTTTTTAGCTTAAAAGCCAAAAAAATCACTAAAAAAAATCATTAAGTCAACAACATATACTAAAATGTCAAAAATTCTATTTTCTGTCTATATTTTGCATATTTTTTCATAAAAAATTAAAAAGTTATTCCAAACATACTAGCTTTCTTTTTTTTTTTACATCATATTTTAGCTAAAAAATTAAAAAGTTACTAAAAAAAACATGTTTCTAAATGAAGCCTTAATTTATAATAAGTTCCATCAAACAGGCCAAATGTTACCATTACACTCTATATTTTTTGAGCAATGCAAGGACCTTATAAAAAATATCAAAAATTCTATATAATATTTACATATAAATATTGAGTAGAATTTTTAGAATCTCTACTATTTTTCGTATTTTGATTCTCCTTATTCTTGGTCCATGTTTTCAATAGGACTACTATGAATCTTTTTTTTTTCACTTTTTTATATTATCGAATATATGACATTATATTATTATTTGTTTTCATTTTTTTTACTGATTGTTTGTGAAAAATCTAGAAATTTCCTAGATATTGATTTGTGATTATGTATCAATTTTAAGCAGTAAACAACAATCCCAATCAAACAATCAAGACAAATCGACACAACAATTTTACGTGAAAAAACTATAATTGGACACCTCCAATTATGATAAAAAACCACGGGCAACAGCCACAAAACAATCCACTAAGAAGATATAAACGAATTACACAGGTATACTCTCAATTACCTAGCGAATCCACACCCGAATTGAACCAACCTCTATGTGTCTCTTCCAACCCCGTCTTCACCTCGGAATTGTCTTGACGATGAGCCACTCCAGAATTCACCAAAGTTTCAAGCTCGAATTCTTCAGAATCCACCGAAGAACAACTCTTTCTTTTATGTAGAACAAACAAATAACCCTTTGATGTATACTCTTTAAACCCTGAGTTGAATACTCAATCAAAACATCAAAGAAAACTAACAAAATATCCCCAGATATAAACCCTAGAACCCAAGAAGAAGATCTGGAGAAGTTATCCTAGATTTGGACTGAAACACGTATTTATAGAAAACTGTCCTACGATCTCCGCTCGAGTGTCGGATTGGCCGCTCAAGCGAACCTACGCTCGAGCGCGGAAAGTTCCGCTCGAGCGGGAAAAAACAACATCCAGTATTTTTGCTAGCGACTAAACTTCTGGAACTCAACATTCTCCGCTCGAGCGGACATGTAACTTGGAACGTATTTTTGCATTTTGCTTCGGAGGCGCTGCCCCTCGACCCCGCCGTGGCGCTGCCCCGGACCCATCAAATGGCGCTGCCCCCTCGACCCCCGTGAGCTGACCGGGTAGCTCGATTCCCGTCATAATCAGCGAAGTGGTAATCTTGAAAGAATTAACATCACAAACTGCTCTACAAAGCACGATTCGGGTTGGATTCACATCTAACAATTCATATCCTCACTGAAATAAAAATGCGAATAAAATTATAACACAAAAGAATTTTGTCAAACGAAATTGCCAAGAATAAAACCTAACAGTTTATAAATAAGAAATCAATCATAAGTATCCAAATATGGGATACAAAAAGATAACAAAAATCAAATCATAAAACTTGTGAATTTTAAGGCCTTTAATAATATTTCTTTTATTTGATAACAAAATCCTTTGTTCCTCTCTTTCTTTTGGGATTTCCTTCGCATTATTTTTCGATTATAAATTTATTAAATAAAAATATATCAAAAATAAAATTACCTAAATATTTTTATTTTTTACAAGTAATTATAGAAAAATAACTTTTTTAATTAATATTTATTCATTTTCTACTCATTTTCCTGTTTCAACCTTTATTTTCTTTTTCTATTGTGTTTTTTTTATAAATTCAATATCCAAACGCAACATTAATTAGATAAATATTTCATTCAATGAGAATTCCATAAAGAGTAATATTATACATTTTAAATTTTTTTTAAAAAAAATCACTGAGTACAAAAAAATGGGGTTCATGCGTATATTGTGCCTATTGGTTTTATAAAATAAAATAAAAAATCCTTGTAAGAAATTCTTTGGGTATAGTACTTTCCTTAACAAATTGTTTTTTTTTTTTTTTTTGAACTGGACCTTAACAAATTGTTTATCATATGTATTTTTAATCTCTTGATTTTATTTTTTATTTTTTGGTACATTAGTCTCTCGATTCATAGAACCTGTAACAACCCTTCAATTTTTCAATAACTAGTTGTTAAGAGACGAGTAATCAAGTTATAAATTTTCTATCTAAAAAAAAAAATTATAAATTAAATTGTTAGTAGAAGTGTTAGTATCTCTGACATTTCTCTAAATTAAAACCAAACAAGTCCACTTAGGTGGTGTTTGGCAAGTTGGGTTGGGGCTAAAATAGCCACAAAAGACAAAACAGACTATTTTAGCCACAACAAATAAAACATCACATCCAACCCATAATCATTACACTCTTCTCTCGCAAAAAAAGTCAAAAAAGTCAAAAAGCCAAAAAGCCTTTCCTAAACCAAGCTGTTTAGCCCACGCTAAAATAGCCAAAAAAGCCAAAAAGTCAACTTACTTTCCAAACGGAGGCTTAAAAGGCATATATTAAATTTTTTTTGATAAATAAAAGCATATATTAAAAATGACTTTCAATAAAGCATATTTCAATCTTAATAAAAAAATTATAAATCAATCTGACAGTCATAGAATAATGATACTACAAATAGAATCTTTTTTAGTACAATTTTGATACACAAAAAAGATTTGCACTTGCACTAAACACAAAAATGACTTGCACCATACATGGGAAACTTGCACCTCCATATAAAAATGAAATTATTTCTCCACTACTCCACACAATTTCCAATCGTAATAAAAGGTTGGAAATATGAGTATATATAATTTGTTAATGATCATATGGTTTATATTAAGAAGCTTTTACATGTTTTCGAAAATATTTCTACCTCATCTCTTACAATGTAAACGAAAAATATCATATATATTATACTTTTTTATATAAAAAAAAATATTGAGTCCTATTAACACATGATTTAATTATATTCATTTTCAAAATTACACTTATTATCTCTTTTTTGTTTTAGGAAAAATGTAATCAAATCATGTAATTACAATTATAAGATCAATATAATTTTTTATATGAATAATTTATACAGTGAAACTATTAAAATCAACAGTTTGAATAATTAAAATAACACATGTGGTGTTATATCATGGCCCGGTCTAAACTAGTCTAGTTCACAAGTCCATTCCATATTAAAAAGGTTGATTCATGTACCAATACGATTCAATAAAAAAGGATATTAAAAAAATTAGAATAATTACTAGTAAGTTTTATTGATTACACTTATTTATTCATAAGTCCAGTGCTTGTTTTGTTACATATTTATTCCTCGTTTTGATAATGAGGGGATTCAAATGCGGTGTTTGGGAACTTGGTTTTTTAGTTTTTTTTTTTTTTTTTGTTCTATTTTCACTAAAAGACAAATTGGTTACAAAATAAAAAAAAATAAATCCAAACAAAATATCATATCAAATCTCATAATCATTTTATTTTTATTCTCACAAACATCACATCCAATTACAAAAAAACACAACTATCTTTCCAAATACAAAAAAAAATTTCTCCAATTACAACTAAAAAAACCTACAAAAAAATCTATTTCCCAAACACCCAA